ATTTAATTTGTTATTTGAAATACATTTTAATTCCATTATGTTTCCTTCATGAGGTTTTTCTTTTCTGACAGACATAAATCAACCCTGCTAATCCCAGCCTGCATATATTATTGGTACTAGGAGGGGTATGGCAGAGCTAACAAAGCACTAAGCCGTAGCTCAAGCATCTTCGTTTCCAAACCACACCTATCGCTAGTGAGAGAACTGGGACATGTATAACAAATGACCAGCATTTAAGTGTGCTGCGTTTCCCTTCGGTGGCTAAACCTTGGCTAGAGGAACTGGAATCAGGTCTAGAAGCCATGAAGCTTGCTCTGAAACGCACATCAGCTTTAGTTGCAGGTTTATCTGCTGTGCAGCTTGGGGCAGTAATTTGCTTCATTTAGGGGCTCTGGGAAGCAGTGGCTGAACAGATCAGCAGGGCAAGAGGCAGGTCAGGGCTGTCACCTGCCGTAGCAGGAAGCCAACATATTAGTGTGCCAGGCTGGTCCTCAGGGTTATTTGACTAAGGAGGAGTGTGCGCATTTGGGTTTTGCTGTTAGCTTTTTTTTTTGTCTGGGGCTGTGAGTGCCATGTGGGCAGTCTGGAGGCAACCCTGAGAGCTTCTGGCCCCTACATCAAACCTGAGAGCGAAAAGCCTCTTCTCAGCGGCCAATCTCAGAGGCAGCCTCACCCCAGTTTAATACAAAGAAGACCCACAAGCCTAAATTGTATTTTGGTGCATGACCGAAGGGCTCTGTACCTTGCTCCAGCAAGGCTATAGTGAGCTAACAAACTTGGCAATCACCTCTGCTGTTGCAGCAGAAATAAAAATCCATTTGTGAGCTAGACTTTAAAAGGAGCAGAAAGCTGGAAAAAGAAACAACAGGAAAAGCAGCCTTTGACTCACCGCTTTCCTGTGTCCTGGCTCTAGGCTGGCACCAATTACAGGCAGGTCACGGAGGCAGAGTGGAGCAGCAGGGCCAAGGCAGCCTGGAGTCCCACCACTTCAGGGCTGGCATTGCTAGCGCGTGCAGCTGAGTCCGGAAAGCTGCATTCTGCCGAGGCTGTTCCCCTGGTCTCCGCCAAAGCTGTTGCTTCACCAGAGGCTAGTTAGTGACACCCCTCTTCTGCTCTCCACTGTGGCTGAACAGTGCCAATGGTGCCTAAGTTATTAGGCAGCTGGATGCCTAGTAAAGGAGATGGACAGGCCAGCAAATACACCCACACAGCTTTGCTTAAATAGGTCCACATCCCTGTCTCTGCTGCCTCCTTCAGCACACAGGGTTTGTGAGCGTGCTGTAGAGATCCAGGCAGAAAACCCCCAGAAGGACAGACACCACCAGTGAGACAAACGGTGCCCTCCCCCCACCCCCAGCCAAATTTTCCCCTTTTAATATTTAGCTAAAGAAAGACAAAGACAAGCCCAGCTGTTGTCTTTAGTTTATTTTCCCCGAATTTAGACACAGCTCTGGCTAACCACCACGGCAGCAAACAAATCACAACCCACAAGGAGACACACAGGTGCAAAGACAGCCCCTTGTTCCTCCCCGCAGAGGGACCAGTAAAGCAGGGAAGCAGCCAGCTCCTTGCAGTGTGGAGACCTCGAAGGGCAGGGTCCGCATCGTGCTGTTTGGAAGGGGTAGCAGTGGCTGGGATGTGCTGGGGCAGATGCTTTCAAGCCATGAAAGCCGACGGGTTTGTCAGGGGTATGTGAATGAACCGTGGTGAGCAGCACGAACTCATGCTGGAGGTGACAGCAGCACTCAGGCAGTCTGGCCTTGGAGGCAATGGCATGGTGCAGATGGGGCAAAACATAACCGGCATTTCAGCTCTCCAGCTGCTCTCTCCTCCTCCCACCTTTTCCTCTGGCTATTTTAAAAGGGGGATCTAAGCATTTACAGGGGTGGCATCTAAATGGGGAATGGGTCACTGAAAGGCAGACTGTGGGGATTTGCTCTGGGAGCCAACATGACAAATCTTTCCTGCAGTATACTAGGAAGGGAGAGAAAAACTGCAATGAAATGGGACACATTGATGGCTCAGAAACTCTGAGCTTTCTCCCAAGCAGATTTAACTGTGGAGGATGTGCAGCAAATGAGCCTTCCACAGTTTGCTTGACAGTAAGGGTACCCCCTTCACAGTTTGGACACTTTTTTTCCCTCAGATATTCTAAGTGCCCCCATATCCTGCCATGGGCCAGCTTCTGACTACCCAACGGCAAATTTTAAGTAAGTAAGTGCTGGAAATGCCAAAGGTGGCAGAGGGGAACAGAGGAGGACTAAGGAAGTGCCAAGCCAATGCAGCAGGGAGCTAACAAAGTTGGTCAGGGAGCTTGAGGTAAACTTCAGCCAGGATCTCTGTGGTGCTGTCTGGAGAGACAGCAGCCTTGCAGGAAATTCAACAGTGAAGATTGCTGCAACCTGGCTTTTAGGAACTGCTTTCTAGCAACAGAGGCAGCTGTTGGGTTGAAATAAAAGCTATCCCTGTGGCTGGGACCCGGGAAAACCTGAGACTTCAGTGCTTGTTCTGATTTGTGTAGGGGCTGCTCCGGTCTCATGCACAGGAGTTGGGTTGATGGTAGGAGAAGAATGATTTACTAGCTTAGCAGCAGTTACTTGCATAGTAAATCGCGTGTGATGATAAGCAGCACATGCTTTCACTGCAATATCTTCAGACTGCATCAGAAATACTCTGAGCAAACAGATGCTACCACACCACAAACAGCTGCTGTTTCTGCACTGTTGACATGGGAGGATGCAGCCAGTACGTACATCGAGAGTACAAAGCTGAAACACGATCATCCAGCACTGTGGCACTGTAACATCACTGAGACCTTCAGATGCTTTTGAACATGGACCTGGAAACTATGACTTTTAACCTCGGGTTTAACCAGTGGCAGCAATCAGCTGGAAGCTCAAAAGATGAGGCAGGAAGCAGTAACAAAAGAAGGGACTGAACGTGAGTGACAGGCCCTATTTCACTGGCTGCAGTTGCAAACTAAGGCCCTTCACGCCTGTGCACAGTCCATGTCTAGGTCAGCAGGTGGTTTCTGGAAGCTCAGCTCTGAATTAATGCCCAAACCCCAGTCTTGCATGACTACAGAGAGATACGCATTTTCTCAGGAGTGGGATTTTGCTTTGTGTTCTCCTTAATGAGCATGCTCCAAATGGTAGAGCGATTTGAGAGGGAAGACAGCATGGAAAGAGCAGCCATAGTAGATGTGTGCTTCAAGAGGAAAGGGGCAGCAGTTTCCCTCAGGACAGCACTGCCTGGGTCTTAGGCCAGCGCTCAGCAGGGATAGGAAGAGCGAGGCTGTTAATGCTCCATCGTCACACCAAAGACGTTTCTCCCAGCAAGGCCTGAAGAGAAGCAGCTACTTCTGCCTGAGGAAGAGAAAAAGGGGTCCTCCAAGTAGGTGCGGTGGGTTTGAATGAGTCCTGAGAAGCGCTAGGGAAGGAGAGGGAATTCAAGAGGAAAAGTCAGTCCCAGTAGGAGATGCTGGCACACGAATAAGGGATCCCAGCAAGAGCTGTGCTAAACACAGAAGAGGCGCTTCTGAATCTCCACAATCATATTAACCTGTTAATTTATACAGCAACTCTGTACAAAAATAGAAGGGTTCTAATAAGATTAACAATATTAAATAAATATTTAATAGAAAAAGTCTTTGGCCTAGTTCATAGTTCATCCTTTGGGTTGATGTTCATTTCATTGGGCCCTAGGTGCTCCTGGTCCAACATCGCAATCACTTCATCTGCCTGGATTCGCTCCTGCAATGGGGAAGGAAGGAAAAGAAACTGTAACAGCAGAGCTTCAGTGCCTGCCCCTAGCTCATTCAGGGCAGTTCAGCCCACTGGGAGCAGCCACAGCAAGACAATTCATCTAGGCAGTGTTGTCTAGAAGACAGGACACAGCCTGGAATTTGTCCTGGGGATTTGCTAGGCAAAATTAACCAAATCACTTTGCACCTCAATTTCCTTCCTCCCTCCAGGGACATAATGGATAGGGGCAGAGCTGACATATCGTAGTTCCCTTGTCATATTACACTAAAAGCCACTGCCACCAGCAGGGTTCTGGAGCCTCCTCCTGTCCTCCTGGTAAATTTTCCCCATCACTTGCCTTGTCAGCTAAGACCTCCAACTCTCTGGGCAGGGCTGCTCTCCCACCATATGTGCGTACAGCACCGAGCACAGTGGGATGTCAGCTATCACCAAAACGCAGACAGAGAGAGACAGTAATGCGCATGTCGGAAAATAAGCTTGTCCTCAAAAAATCACAGCCCACTTGCTTGCCCAATACATAGAATTCACAAGACAGAAGCAAAAGGATTTTGCTTTCTCCCCACACCTGTTTTTGCCAGGAACTTGCTCGGAGTAGGCCTTTTATCTTTTATCCCCACAGACCAGGACTGCTATTGAAGGGATATAGGGGCTGATATGGTAGGCTTTTAAAACAGAATTCAGAGATTGACAGTTGAAAAGCACCACAAATCAGATCTTCCTGGGCATCCAGGTGCCCAAATCCATGGACCTTTGGGAAGAAGGTGCCAAACTGCCTTTGAGGATCTGGCAGCAGCAGGACATTACTTTGGGTCTCTCAGCTGAAAATTGCTAACGAGGCCTTTCCCTGTTCATTAGGTTATTGGCCACTAGGTGTCACAAGTGCCCAGCTTCAACCCTGCACAGAGCCATCCACCACTGTGTCCAGCATCCAGCCCTAGTGGATGAAGGCAGGGTGACCTGCACCCAGGAGCACGGCTGTCAAAGAAAACTGCTCAGTCCCGGTGCCTCTGGCTCTCCTAGCAGTATCTCACTCCTCATTTCCCTGAGGCACATCTCATGGAAGTGGTGGAACTGGGAGCTAAGGATGGCTCCTTTCTGCAGTGTCTAAGAAGCATGCAGGGAGGAGCAGGTGGCTTTGACTGTTGCCTTCGGGATGCTTAGGTACCCCAGCTCCCCTCACGCTGCAAAGGAGGAACTCACCAGTTCTCTGTAAAGCGGGTCCAAGGTAAACCAGAGAGCCACAGCGCACCTCTGGCCTTTGGTAACTGCTTTCACCCCGTGGGGGTTCTCACCGCCTGACGAGAAGCTGATCATTCGCCCGCACTTGGGCTTGATAGAGGCCTACAGGAAAACAGGCAACAAGCTGACATTCGTAAACATGGTGGCAAAGAGCAACACAGCTATTTACATTGGTGACATCTGGGCTCCCAGTGGTCCAGAAACTTCGACCTCACTGAGTGTCCCTGCATCGCTCAGGACTCAGCGAGCTGCTCTGGACGACATGCAGGAATAGGCACGGGAGGACTGAGGCTCAGCGCTCTGCTCAGATGCCGCGCAGGGAGGAGGTGGCAATGTGAAGTCACTGCAAAACCTGCAGGTGACCACCTCTGGTATACATGGGCCATGGCATGACTGCAGGGAGGATCAGGCAAACCTTGGACCAGGCTGTGGAATTCCTCTTTCTTTTCTCTTATGAGTGTGCAAGGATCCTGCAGGACCTCAGTGACCAAAGTGCCCATAAAATCAACCCTTAAGTGCTGGTGTTATGTAGACTCACTCTACTCTCCAGCAGCTACTGGACTCCATAGTGCCAGTGTAGCGCCCAGACTCTCTGTTCAACTGCGGGGGGGCGGGGCGGCGCCTACGCTCTCTGCTCAACCACAGAGAGGGACCTGGCTTCCCACATGACCCCATGCTGAGTATGGGGGCTAAGGCCAGAGCCACATCCCTCTCAGGGACGGTCCACAGTGGTAATCCACTCTAGAGTGAGAGGCCTAAGCCACGTTAATCTTTTGCAGTGTATCTTATGGCAGAAAATGGCACCACAGACACTATCTCCTGTCCCCAGGGTGGACACAACTGTCTCTGCAGACTGAGTTGCTGCAGTGAGGCTGTCAAACATGGGCTGCCCTCATCTACTGCAGAGAAGAGAAAGAGCAACCTGACACCGTGATGTGACGGGAGGATTTGGCTAGCAGAGGAAGATGTCAGTGTGTATGTACCAGCAGCATTGGTATCACTTCACGTTCGGCCACAAGATGGGGTGGGAGCTCAGCAGTCCTTGAGGCAAGGAGGACTCTCAACCAGTGCCAGCCTCTGCCCGAGCTGTTTTTCAGCCAACCCACTGCCAGAGCAGAGGTGGTGCAAACCCCTTATCTGCAGCCCCTTATCATGCAGTTTACTGCATGGCACAGCCTCTGGGCAAGGAACAAGGTCTGCGCACCTCTAGCAGCAGACAGAAGTTTTTGTATGTGATGTTCAGGAGAAATGAGACATAGGATGCCCAGGAAAGCCATGTTCCCCCGGCACAAAGATCAACACTCTTAGGAATGGGCTGCAGAAGAATGCCACAGAGATTGCTTTGGAAATTAACTCCCACTGTTCAATTCATAGCAGCTCGGCCAGAAAAGGTCACTGACTTACGGTTACAGTTTTGGCATCCATCTCAGTGAAAATGAACTCGCCTCCTTCGAAATCCGCATTCATGTACAGAAGGGCACTGGGGGAAGAAGCAGGAGATCCCAGTGAGGTGAGTAAAAGCAAGTGCTTAGGGCTGACCTCCACCTATGTGACACATCTCATGTAGCTCCATGGAGAGGGTGACTGTGGTGTCTGCTGGAGGTAAGATTCCCATTGCAGGAGCTGTTCAGCGCCCATAACACTGCATGTGTTCAGCTCCTTCCTGGCCTGTGATGCTAGGAGACACTGGAGCTAAAAACGATCCTTCTATGCATTATCAACCTAAGGGGGACAAACCTCTTTCCTTCCTGTCTCATCAGCTGGGGCAATCTTGCCCAAACTGTCCCTGTTTTGGAGTCAAAGCTGAGAATCAGCAGTTCTTTCTTTGAGCAGGGGACAATGTTCATTTTCAGAATGAACACAGATTTCCACCAGCTCTCATGCTCTTGTTTCTGATTGAAAGCATCCCATGAGAGACCCAGTCCTGTGGGCCACAGCAGGGAACTCCTGCCCTTAAAATACTGTAGACCTTTGCAGTTACATTCTAGCTTGAAGTTTAGCTTAGGTGCTTGCTTGTACCAGAAATTATCTGCTGGATCTCATTTCAGCCATCACTGGGAGGTATCAGCTTTACGGTTTATAGTCCGTGCAGTGCATAAGCCTGCCTGGCACACATGCCCTTCAGTTGCTTGGATAAGACAGCTGGCTCCCCTGGAGAGAAAGCCGTGAGCAGCCTGCCTTCCTACCTGTAATCCCGGAAGGTGTAGGCAGGAGGCTCCTTCCAGCACTCATTGGCCTCGGGGTCCAAGAGGCAGTTGTCAGCGTGGATAGGGTGGCTCAGGTCATTCCTCTTCTCCTGCTGGCCTAGGCAGGATCGTGTGGAGGAAAGGGGAAGGAAAAGGGATGGGATGAGATGGAAATGGAGTTGAGCCTGCCCTGACCTCATTTTGGGTGGTGTTCACAGGTGAGAGGAAGAAAGGACATGCTGGGGAGAAAAGACAAAATCTGAGCATTCAGATTTGCACAGGTTTGCTCATTCTTTACAGTAAGGTTTGAGGAAAGAAAGATGGAGAGCTGGGGGGATGGAAAGGGTGCAGTGCGAGGAGTAAAGGGAAGAGGGTGGAGAAAAGAGGAAGAGTTGGAGACACAAAGAACAAGAAATACCCCAGGAAATGAACTTCTCTAGACAGCAACGTACCCACTCTTTTCTTCTGAGAGAACAGTAACTTTGCCTGGCCCCTAGCTATCAGTTTAGCCACCACACAAAATAGAATTTCTCCTATGCTTAGGTCCCTGCTCATTGCACCATGACACCACTTGAGGGGAATGAAGTGGTAATAGGGCCTCTCTAAAGCAGTGACATCACATCTATAAGCACAGCAAACCCTATGGCTGAAATCATCCCATCCACCCACCTCCCTGCCAAGATGCTGGCCCCTTACTGGAGCCCCTCACCAGACAGGGCTGTGCGGCACACCAAGTGCGTGTAGGAGAAGTACAGCGTGGAGTTCAGCATGAAGTAGGACTCAACGATCCTGCGAGCCTTCTCGCTGATGTCGTAGAAGAGACGGGCGCTCTTCAGCGGGACACGACCCTCATAGCCATACTGGGCAGAGAAAAGAGGTTGAGAGAGAAAATCAGAGCTGTGTGCTCGCTGGAAAGGAGGGCAGTGGAAGAAGGAAGGATAAAGGTGTACCTTGAGGGCTTTGAGGACAGTGGCTCCTTCAAATCTCTCATTTGGCGTATGGGGTGAGGTTTTGCCCCTGTAACCATCTCCAGCCAACATGATCCCCTGCCAGGAAAGACACAAACACAGGCGAGACATGAACTGATTGATCAGGAGAGGCATAGCTGCAGTAGAAGTACCTGAAATCCTCTTCCCAAAATACCCCAGGGCTGCATTCATCAGGAGAGGTGGGAGGGGTGGGAAGGCGCTGCGGCTCTCCACAAACATGATCCATTGTGAGATGCTGGGAAACAGCTGTCCATCTCCAAACTGAGGACTTTCAGGCATCCTCTAGCCCCTCCCCAAGCCAAGATGCTGATGGTTGAGAAGGCTCCACCAGGCTTGTGCATGAATATCCTTTGGGGTTATGTATAACACAGGGGAAAGAGCTTTTTTCTGCCTGGGCTTTGTCCTTTCAGGTTTTTCTTTTTTCAGAATGGCCCAAGATGGGGCATCAGGTCCTGTTCAGGACTTATAGGTGTGTTATGGGAACCGGTGTCTGACCACTCTCCATGGGCATCACAGCATTGGTTGAAAAGGTTCAGTGACTGAGATGTAAGCCCAGAGGCTCCCTGTGGACTGATCACATGTTCAGTCCTAACCAGCAAATGTGTGTGTGTGTGGGGGGGGGGGGGCACCAGATATTCAATGCCAGTGATAATCAGTTCCCCCTCCCCAAGTCTTGCCTACTCACACTGGCCACTCTGTGAAGCTCTCGGCACTGCTCCTCTGAGATGACGTTATCCAGCAGCACTCGCTGGGTGCCGTTCAGCTGTTGGGAGTTGTAGACAAACTTCACGTCGCTGTAGAGAAGAGGACCCCCTGATGGAACGAGAGATACAAAACAATCTTGCTGAACATGATATGGCCTCATTGGCATCTTGCACCATGGCTGAAGGCCAGCTGAAGTCACCAGAGTGCGCTTCCAGGGAAACAGCTTTATAGCAGTGTAACTGAGAGCAGAAATTGGCCTTGCATCAACAACAAAAGAAACAGAAGCAATGGAAACATCCAGAGGTGAAATCAATTTGCTGCAAAAGCATCAGCATTTTCCAGTCTCTCATCAGCTGCCTTGCAAACGCAGGGACCACATTCTAAAAATGCCAAAACCCAATGGGATTACACAATGGACATAGACACCGGTTAACCTGGCTCTCCTGCCCAGCAGCCAACGTAAATGAAAGCCCAAGTTTCCATTGCATTTGCTCTGTGTGAATCTTGCTGGCTTGGCATGCAGCACCACTCTCTGGAGTTGTCATCAGTAGGTTTTTTGTCTTCCACTTGTGTAGAAAATCTGACACCACGGTGAGCTCACAGCAAGCATCATTTGTGCTCAGTCCCATTGGTGATGGAGAAGGGGCAGGCTGGGAGTGGCAGAGCTGCAGGACCCCAAGGACCATCCTTCCTCCATGGCAAACGAACTGCCCTGGGCCTACCCTGTGCTGCTGCAACCCCTTGCTCTCTGCTGTTGACCTCCGAGTTGCCTCCGTCTCCCTGCCGCAAGCTGGTGGCTTCCGTTTTGGTGGGCCCATCTATTTGGTACAGAACAACCGAGCCTTGCCATGTGCTGAGGGGAATGGGTGAGGGGAAGAGAAATAATAGCTCTTTAGAACAAGTCTGGATTGATCCCTGTCAAATCTGCCCACTTAGAAAAACATGGCAAGGCCACTAAATCACCTCCTGAAGCCTCTTCCTCTCATCATCTCTAAGAGAGTAAACAAAAGAAACGGCAACAACAACAAAAACTTAAACCAGATGTTTCAAAAGGAGGAAGGTGAAATGTATCTAAGTCATGGGAAAAATTATTTGTTGTCACAAAGCTGCAATAAAACAGAGGAAGCGGAGGCACAGAGCTCCTCTGACCATGTGGCACAATGAAACTTTTCTGTTACACTGCTTTTATAACTACTACCTTTCTTGTCTATTGCAGCACATTTTGTATTTTCCCCTTGGCCCAAGGTCCCCTTGGCTGATGGAGGCCATATAATCCTGAAGGAAAAGCGCCCCCCCCCCCAACTAACCCACGAGTTTCTTTCTAAAGAGTTATGTTTCTTGGAAATGGAAAGGATGGGATGTCCCTTATGTCCGCTCTGTTGCTTGATAATAGCACGTATTACAAATGGAGTCGGATCAGAGACAGAACCCTGAAATCCAGTCTTCTGGCACACTCCAGCTCACATCGCAGCTTTCCAGCTCGGGTGTTGCTCTTCCCCAGATGCAGGAGAGTAGGCATGTAAAGGACTAACCTGGAAGAGATCACTCAGTACTTCTCCAGTTTCTTCTGTTTCTCTCCAGGCATCTGCTATCGGCCAAAGCAGCAGCCCAGCTGCACCTCTGCGCAGACCCACTGTGGCTGCTCTTAGGTTTGGAAGAATGATTTGTCCTGCTTGTGTCTTTTGCTTTTTCACAGCCCCACTGCTGGCAGGATATAACCTTCAGCTGCCAGGATCAACTTATCAAGTTTGCAAACATCCCTACAGCTTACAAGTTTCTGCTAACTGTGCCATAGAGCAACCTAGGGAAGAAACTCATTCCCTTTGGGTTTTTCTTCTGTTTTCAGTCTCACAAACCAAACTCCTGCTGTCTCATATATCACAGCATGCACTGCGCTAAGTCACAGCAGCCAGCAAACCTCACTAGGGTCAGCCTACATGAAAAGAGAGGAGTTCTGCATTTGTGCAAAGTGTCTATATTATTTTTGCAAATGAAATGATTTGAACTAATGAGCTGTGGATGGCTCAGTCTCTTCACACTGTCTGCCTTACAGCTACTCTGAGGACTGCAGCATCATTTTAGTTTCTCAATTGCTGGTCAGGCTCAGATACAAAAGACAAAGAAAGCACTGGAAATGGAAACCAGGTGTCCTGGCTCTCAAGTTCTGGTTCATTCAGTCTCTTCTTGTCACAGTATTAAAATGAGTTTGTCTTGGCCAACGTCTCGTCACTTAAATCAGTTTTTGACAACATGGTAGTATTTCCTAACACTGACTGCCCTCAATCCAGGTGAACCATGGGACCCAGCACTAGGACCAAAGCTACTTTACTCTCCCGCAACCTCTGTTCCTTTCTGCTCTATCATTAAGCTCAAATTTCACTGAGTCAAAATGTATGTGACACATCGAAGCTGGACAATCTGTGGCCAATATGTTCTGACTGCCCTTTTGGTACAGCAGGGAAAGATGGGGATAATTTAAAGCCAGGGCCATTTTCTTCCTGTCTGAATGCTTTTAAGAACCCAGAGCATATTCTGGGCTGTCTGGTACATTATAACTGGGTGGGTTTTAACACCTCTCCAAACTGAAATTACAGCAGGGGTGAGTTTATTGTGGAAAAGAGAAGCCCAGATCCAGGTCTGAGATCAAAGGAAGAAAGTAACCCAAAGGAGTAAGAGCCTGTGCAACCGACTAGGGCAGAAATGACCTGGGGACCTTGCAGGGGTTGCCCTGGGAGCTGTGGCGCAAACACTGAATCATTGTATCACACCACTAATATGTTCCTGGCTACACTTCTCAGCTCTGCCAGCCTCTAAACGGGACTGCAGAGGGACCAAGGGAATCCCAGTTCAAACCACCACACACACAAGCCACGGAGAGACTGGGCTAAGGACTCATTTGCCTCCAGTGGGTCTGAGATATGCTCCTGAAGAGGTGCTCTGGTGTCGAAGGCAGAGTGTCCCTAGGGCTGAGCAAACTCTCTGACATGTATTTGGTTAAATATACCAGAGAGGCAGATTCCGTTCCAGCTCCTATGGCAAAATCAGCATGAGAAGAGAATTGTTTCCCATGTGTATGTTTCGGTGAAAAACACCCACCCACAGGAAATGGGAGTTCTTTGGACTTTTGGGAGTGAAGGTACTTGGAGAAGAGAGGAATGGGGGGAAAGGAGATAAGTGCAGAAGAGGAGTATAGAATGAAAATGAACATTTTTTTTTCTCCTTTGACCTTTTCTCTTCTTTCTCCAGTGAAAAGAGAAAAAAAAAAAGACAACGAAGAGAAGGGAAGCAGATTGCTTTTGTTTGCAGTCTCACTTTTCTTTGCAAACTTGAAAAAAAATTCTGCAACAAAACCAAAATAAATGCATAGACAGAAAGAAAAACAGAGAAAGACAAACTCCAAATTATGTGGTTATCAAAAACAAACAGCGCGACAAATATAAAGCAGTCAGCTCTTGGCTTAGGAAGTTGTTCAAGACCTTCTTCTGGTATTTTCCTATTTTACCTGTGTAGCTAGAGTAAGAGATAACAAGTCTCTGAACAAGACACTAACAGCTGGAGACAACTTGGGCCATGGAAAGCTGTGAAATTCCCCAAAAGGCATGACTGTCCTTGATATTATAGGGACACTTCATTGCCCACTGGTATGGAGCTGGCCCACTAGAGACATGAGAAAGCTCCTGACTTGAGGTCCTGCAGTTTTGCAGTGAGGAGCAGGCTTTGGAGTTTGGCAGCAACATAATTTTTCAAAATTGTTCTGGGGGAAATCTTGTCTATTAGTAGAAAACATGATGGTATTTTCTGTGGCTGGAGAGAATGTGCTGAATCAGTTCAAAGCTCTGCCATCAGGCCTCAAAATAAAGCAGTCTGATGTAAGCCAAGACATGAAATCAAAAGCCAGACTGCAGACAGAAATGCTTATTGAAACAGTGCAGTCCAGCACGTTTAGCAAAGCATCAGTACCAGAGCTGCCAAAGCACAGTGACTCCAGCATCAGTCCTTCTCCAGCCTGGACAAAAGGGAACATTTTAATCTTAAGAGCACCTAGGGGAAAGATTACTGTTGGTGACATCTTCCCCCCGGTGATGAAGAACCAGGCTCCCAACTCTGTACTTCAGGGCTCAGTGCTGAGCAGCTCAGCAGGTAAGAAGAGCAGACCCAAGAGCACTTTAGTGCCAGCAGGATCCACAGACCAACAAATGCTACTCAATAGTCAAATAGAGACTTCTTTGTTAAGCAAAACTGCAACATCCCAGGTAGGATTGGACCTCATTGCTCAACGCCCGCTTTCTCATTATGGTGGCAGTTGGTACTCTCTAGAAATAGAAGGAAATTTCTGGTTTTGGTGAAAAACTTTCATGAGACTTACCCTCCTTCAACTCTCGATCTGTTTTTGACACAGGCTTCTTTCCCAGGGACAGCCTAGGCCCGTCCTCTGGTTCACTGCTAATACTTGATGGCACACTGAGGAGCAAGAGAGAAGAGGAACATCACGACTTTGGCAACACGTCTCTAGTTCTGGGAATTATGCTGTTTTCGCACCCCCTGGAAACCACTGCACTAAAAAAATTGACAAATTGGTACTTTGTATGAATACCACAACTACATAAGTAGAAGCTCTTCCCTGTCCTGTTGTAAACTGTTTTCTTGGAAATGGGAACAATGGTTTCCACCAGCAAAGCACAGATACCAACAAGACCTGAATAGCAACAGTTGCCTCCCTGACCAAATTCCCTCTAGTTCATCACTGGTCTTGAGGCACCCAGCTAAAAAAAGGTGTTTGTGAGAACATTTGTAGCGGAAAGTCAAAGGCTTTCCATTTCACCCTAATTCTACAGTGATGGTGTGATGGCGTAGACGTGGTTGCACCTCCCGAGAGGACAGCCCGATATCTCCATCACAGATACATCCCTTTCACAGCCCCCATGGGTGCCTACAAATTCCCAGGTGCAGACAGCATGGCGGTGCCTTCAGGCAGTGACTCACCTGTGCTCATCCTGACGGGCTCCGTACCTGTTCCAGTAGTTCTGTGGCAAGAGAGAGAGTTTGTGCTTTTTAAATTAATAATCAAATTAATTCCAGAAAGCTCCTGCAGGGTTTCCCTGCTCTGCCTCACACTGGCAGAAGTCAGTCAGTCTTGCTGGTCTGGATTCATCCCATATGACTTTGGGCACTTGCCTGGAGTGATCAAACGGAAAGATTACCCCAGACCTGAACTGGTGTCATACAGTGAGTACAGAGGGAACCCAGCATGACACGGACACTCAGCTGGGCAGCTTGCCCGGCCTTCCCTGTTCCACCCCACCACCATAAAATAAGGGTGGTACTTGGAGGAGGTCTCGCTGGATTGATGGCTGAGAGACAGCCGTATGCCAAGGAGGGGATGGATGAAGCTGTGTCTGCCTCTCCTCCTCCCTGGAACAGCTGCCTCACTTGCCTTACCAACACCCTTTTCCCCTAGGGAAAAAACTCAGGCAAGACATAGCTCCTGAGTCACCAACACAGGGCTTGCTTTACAGCAGGGAGAGAGGGGGAAGCCATTGCTATAGCTGTAAACCCATAAACAGCCCTCGCAACGACAGACACAGGCATTACCGGCTCTGTGTAGACAAATCCAAGGCTGGCTGCAGCCATCTGCAAGAGGTGAGATTCCAGCTTATGGCGCCTCAGCAGCATTTTAGCTTCCTGAAATGAAGAGGAGAAAGGGAGTTGCTCTAAGTGTAGTTTTTACAAGAAACGGCAAACGTACCTCTGCTTAAACTGGGAATTGCTTTTCATGCATCACCTCAGACACCTAGATGACGAAGGATGGACCAGTTCTTAGATCATGCCTTAGATCAACCCTGGGGCACAGGGTTGTGCTACTTACTGCATTACAGACCTCCTGTGTGGGCTGGGGAGGTGCTGAGCTCAGGAAGCCTGAACGCCCAACATACGTGTGCATCATTACTGGGGAAAGCTGAGCACCCTGGAAAACCTCTGAATGTCTCAGTAAGATACTCACTGGGGAAGCCTCAGCTGCAGAGCTGGAGGCAGATTCAGGCTGTTGCGATATGGACCTTGGCTGACCTGTGCCTTGGCTCCTCGTCTGTAACATGGAGCTAATAGCCCAGCCCTGTCTGGCAGCAATGATGGGGGGTTCAAACATTGCAGGCTGTGAGGCACTCAGGTACTGCGGGATGGGGACCACAAAAGCACAGCTAGCTGGAAATCTTTCAATAAAGATTTGTGTATGAAAAATATGCAACAAAACACTAGGTTTTCTGCTAGAAAATTACTTAGCAAAACAAAATTATTACTTTTTTTTATAGAAAATCTCAAAACACTGGAAACAGATTGAAATGTTTTTGTCAACTTCAGTTTTTTCCTAGATTCACTTTGTAAGGAGAAATGATGATTGTTCTTGTTTTTTACCATTTCAGCAGATAGTTTTCCTGGAAATCAAGGAATTCTCTAGGGAATAGAAAATCCAATTCCTGATGACCTCTACTTACAGAGCAAAAGGAGCAGGGCCATGATGGGATGAGAGGAACTTCTCATGTTCTGCATTGTGAGAAAGGCAGCAGCCACAGCACCGCAGATGAAAACTACCCTGAATGAAGAGGAAGTCTGTCCCACTGGGTGATTGAGTAAGTACTGTTTGGTTGTTTGACCCCAGCCTAACCCTGCTATGGCAATGCTGTTCCCTGCAGAACAGGCTGAACACTTAACTCCAAGCTACGTCAGTGACTCGAGCAGTCATGCTGACATCCAAAAATTCCCCTGGGAAAATATTTCCCAGCCCTCTCTGAATGGAGGTTCCCCTTGTGCTCAGTGTTTCATTACATTCCTCCTCCACATGCCTCCTTCAGAGCACCAAGAAAGAGGAAGAGTTTACATTGTTCAGGCGCTCAGTCATCACCCTCACTGCCCTTGCTCGGGCTTTGTTTAGCTGAAGTCCCAATGTAAAGAAGACCATGCTCTCCAGTTTCTCACTCACACCAGCCCCTCTGGATCTGCACTATTACAGTTTGCATTGCCAGAGAGTCCATCATCTTCACATCTGTTCTCAAAGCGGTCCCAAGATGGGAAAATTGTCAAGCTGCATTTATTTCCAGATGATGCTTCTGCACTGTGATACCAAACGTTCTTGCGTGACGTTTGTTCTCACCTTTCTGGGCTTGATGGTGTCTGGATCCAGAGTATCTTCCAAAAGGCCCTCGTAATAGCCTGCGTTCTCTAATACATCTTCATCATCTGGGTGGAAGAGGAGGTAGGACTTGGCACACTCCAGAGCTTTTACATAATCACCAACTGGAAGGGAACACAGCAGTTGTTAGGGGGCAAAGGAGTGCCCAGCACTGTGGCCCCTTTGGCTGTGCCAGGAGGGTCACAGAGCACGGCAAGCAGAGAGGCAAGAAGGGGAGGCAGTCGCAGGTGGAAGGAACTGTATAAGCCCTCCATTAGCAAAAGGATGATCCTAACGTTTTACAAAGCTGCTCTGATGCAACTTTGTCTTAACTGCTCCATTTCACAGGCAGGAAAACTGAGGCACAGTGACATGACTTCTCTGCAGTCATGCACAGATCAGGGACTGAATCTGGGAGCAGGCACCAGGCTCTAGTCCCTGTAAGGCTTTTGGGGTACAGAGCAAAGCAAATGCAGAGCAGATCTTGCGGTCCTGTAGAAAGGGACCAGATCTGAAGCAAGCAGTGCTGGATTGGCACGTGGGTCACCAGGAGAGAGGCATCCAGGGAGGAACACCAGGCTCCCACTGCATCCTCAAGCCAGCAGGAGCTGGAAGGCCATGCTCTTCACACAGGTAGGATATCGATGCTCTTTGGCAGCAAACTGCCTCTCTCGTGCAGGATCTCTCAGGGCTCTCAGAGTTTTACCACCACATTAAACCTCTAATTTGGCAGAGGAATAAAAAAGCTTGTACACCATGCATGAAACCTTGCTGACTCCTCTAGCTTTATTCTCAGTGAGTTGATGAATGAAGACGCTTTTGCTTTGAATAACTACATTGACTTTGATAAATTCTGACCTTTTTGCTCATTTTCTCCTTTTCAGGGAACAGTTCGCACCCTCAAGCCTGTCTAAGAATTTCAAAATCTGCCTAGCCTTTTTTTATACATAGCAGGACATAAAAAAATCATACAGGACTAGACAACTAGCAATATTTTATAGCATTGCCAACTCCTGCAACTTTATCGTGAATCTTAATATATTTAGTAATTAGCCAAAAGTTCCAGCTTCTAGAGTCTTGAGATAAACTTGGGATAACTCGTATATCTGTTATATTCAACTTATAGTATGTAAGAATGTGAGCCACTACAATTTTAACATCAAAAGGGAAATGAAAGGACTCTAATATGCATGATTTATTTAAAGAGGACTCATATGATTTTTAAGCTAAAGTTTGAACTTGTAGAGCCTGACTGCTGATTTTTGAATATTTGATTCCAGCAATACAATACAAGAGCCCTTTTATAAAAGTACTTAAATATGCATTTCATTCAACCTGAAAGGGAAAGGACTTTTGAACAGACAGCTTTCAGTGCCCTTTGCTCCCTCTTCCAGATAGTGCCACTGCACCATGGCAGCACACACCCCTCATGAGAAAATATCTTGATTTCCAAATAAAATAACTCCTCCTTGCACAAAATTCAGCAAGAGCTGTAAAGAGCAGAAAGACAGACTTTACCTCTGTAATAGGCAAACTGTAAGTAGTCATAATGGAGTGGAAGGAAATTTTCGATGGGTGAGATACGTCCCGAACGTGTGGCGAGTTCTCGGACACAGTCGTGTTTGCACACCAGGACTTGCATGTAGTGATCTGCCAGGAAAAGAGGGATAAGACAGTCTGAAGTGGGAAGAATGATGGCAGTGAGGAGACTAGGACAGAGGCAGATTAAGTTTCCAGACTGAAGGACATGCAACTCAAAGGGTGGTGGCACCCATGTCGGGGAGAAGAAAATCCCAGCGCTGAATTGTCTTTCTCTTTGCACGGGTGTGAACTGGGGGATCCCTTGCTTTGCTGCTCTGGCCTGGCAGATGACTGACAGCACCTACAGAAATAGCTCAAATCCTCTATGAAAGCCAATGGAGAGGTGCAGTCACATTTTTGGCCCCCTTCAAAAATGCCTTTCTCTTTCTGTCAACTGCAGAGGCAGTTTGAGCATCTTTTTTGTATCCCAGAAGCTGCTACTTCTGCTCTTACCAGATGTGCCAGTGGGAGTTCACTGTTAAGTCTACGAGCCAAACCAAAGGTAAGGGACATCCACATAGCAAGCAGAGGTGTGAAGAGAGGGTGACTGTCACGTGAAAACTAGTCTCATGCCACCTCCCTTCAGTTCATCTTTAACCCTCTCCTTTCTGCAGCAACAAAGCTTGCAAGGGCAGAGTGTTACAGGAGGGGCTGGGGGTTTAGTACAGTTACTCAAGCACGACTGAGTAGGGCACGTGCACTGCTGGTCTGAAAGGTCTAAGGTGCAAATGCTGGCAGCAAAATCTCTATGCTTGTTGCTTCTTGAAGATGACAAATCTCCTGAGACAATGAGAGCACACAGTAAACATCTGCCATCAGCAAGGTTTCTAATCAGAGAGAGTGTGCAACATAGGCGTTGTATCAGCTGTGTGTTTTCTAAGCCAAAGCTGACATCTGATTCCAGTTTGGAGTCTTTGCTGCAATGTTCCTACAAATCTACTTTGCTTGCTCTATCTCTGTACACCATTAAAAACTTTAAGAAACAAACACAGGCTTGAAAAAAACATGTCTGTGGGTACCAAATGTTTCTCAGAGCTGCCAAAAAAACAGCCTGAGGAATTTGCACTGAGATCAAGTGGAAACTCAAAACAGTCCCTATTTTCTCTGGGCAGGTAGTCTGAGCAGACATCTGCTTTACTGTATATATCCAGGATATGACACTAAGGAAAGCGTGAAGGTAAGAGGCATAAATAATTTTGCTGTAATTTAAACCAATTTAAGCATTCTAGATGTGAAATGATCAATCCATCACTGACAAGCACTGCTTTTTCTCGGTACTCTCAGGTACTGCAGAATATATGTCTGGGAATCAGTCACTGAAATGCACCTTCTCTGGGATGGAGAGATGAGAGCATTTGAACCTCATGTATTAGCACACCAAACTAGCTTAGGACTGAAAAAAGAACAAAGTTGTGGAGAAACTTAAACTCTGTTTTCTCAGTGTATTAGAGTTCCTACTCCCTGCTGAAGCATCTGGGCTGAGAGTCCTGGACCCAGGAGCAAGCTCTGGTTTAACTTATCCTGTAATGAACCACTCTCAGTTCCCTGTAGAAAAACAGTGACACTCTGTGCCTTATTTCCCACCTTCTGCCCTCACTTTCCTGTTTCTTTGGGTGCCTCAATGGTCCTGGGGGTTGGAGCTGTTACTCCCAGGCATATGTGGCCAAGTCAAGCCACAGCCCTTGCAATGACAACTGGACTTGCTCTCGTTCCCGTGTGATGTGCCAGGGAGGAAACCTCTGCACCGTGACCATGTCTGCGCTCCGCATTGTCCACGACAGAAGCACAAGGCTGCATTTGACTTGCACAGCACAGAAGCAATTTACAGAGAGGCAGGAGAGCAAAACCTATTTGATGAGCAGCAGCTTTCAGCAAGAAGGAAGGTGGGTTTTCTTTGCCGCTGAGGGCTCTTCTTTTGGAGGGCTTCATATGGCCCTTGGTTTCCTGGTCATGGTTTTAAAACCAGACATGAGCCACTGACAGTTACACTGGTACCAAAACTCGTTCGCAGGTCAGCCCTTAGAACACTTGTCACCTTTTTTCGTATGGGTAAATACTAGAAAAAAATCCCTTGTTTTGTTCCAAAGATGATTTAAAAAAAAAATCATTAAACCCAACAAAGGCACCTTCCCATTCTGTATGTTGGTGATTTCCCATCTTGTTAGGTTCAGTTAGACCTCTTGTCTCTCTGCAAACACAATTATGCAAAAAAGAAGAACAATCTGCATTTGAGTGAAGTATTTTCCACAGGACAAGCAAAAGTCCAAGAGCTTGATGGAACTCCAAGACCGATGGCAGATAAATAAGATTTCTGTTGCCAAATAAAACTTAATTTACCGCTCTTCTTTCCCTTACCGCTAATTAAATGTAATCTTATTTCTACTGAGAACGAATCATTTTAATGCCGCCTGGCTCAGAGCCACACAGCCACACATGTAAATCTGAAAATTACATAGCAATGTTCAATTCACAGAATTCTCTCCCGAGATTTCAGTCAAGGTCATAATTAGGTGGCTCTTCACAAATGACAAATCCATCCTTTTGGATGGGGAGGAAGCCTACGTTCTGAGCCTTTCTGGCAACTTTCCTTGACACTTGGAGCATGGCCAAGAGAACTTTACCGCTCTCTTCATATGTACAGAAAATTAGAGAGACTATAGACAAGCCCTGGTGATGTCTAGGTTCCACCAAGGTATGTGCGACTGTGCACAGGTGTAAACAGATGTAGAGAGACTATGCAATTCATGTTGAAGCACCTACAGTTCCATCTCCTGCCGAAAGCTGCAAACGCTCTACGCAACTGAAAGTGCAGTTCCTCCAGTCCAGTTTCCACTCAGGACCAAAACGAGATGTTCTAGTTCACTGTCCTCTATTCAGTGTATTTACATTTTCCAGGCTTACAAGCACCTGCTACAGAGTTACTAACAGCAGTGATGGAAGGAAAGACACTTAAGAAAGTGGAAATGTGGAAAGACACATCCAGCCAAAGGCCCAAACTCAGTTACTAAAAATATTGCAGGGCCAAAGGGTTAGAACTCTTAAGATGCAAAAAGATCTCACCTGCAATAGCTTCATAGAGGCCAGCCTTATATTCCAGGTATTCATGCTCCTCAAATCTCTGAGGCCCTTCGCACATGATCTGGCACTCTTCATCCTCAGAGTAGTACGCTTTTAATGCACGCTCAAAGAACTCAATGGCCAGCTCGTACTCTTCCTTATCGTAGTGCCTTACCCCGGCACTGTAGTCCTCCTGTAAAGTAGGCAGGCAGAAGGCAAGTAAGACTGCAAGGCTGTAAGCAAGCTGCATTGCTCAGACCACAGTATCCTGCCTCTGCCAACAGCAGATGCTTTTTGAAAGAAAGTACAAGAGAGCAAGGACAGACTGATCCCCCCAGGTACTAACAAGCATAAATAGCTGCACCAAACGACGTTTAAGCATCTGTAGACTTGTGGAGCAGTGGAACTTCATAAACCTGCCTAAATGCTCCTTTGAACGCCTTGGTACTGAGGCTGTTCTCAGTGCCACTGCTGGATTACGCATTGTGTGAAAAACAGACAAACAAACAAAAAAACACTACTTCTCTCTGTTTTATCCCTCCTACCCAAATGCTACACGGAATGCCCCTAATTTTGAATGGCTCCTGAGCATGCCAATGACACAGGATGAATGAGAGGGGCTATTACCTGATATGCAAAGCAAAGGGAAAAGACTGCACTTAGCCCAGGCAAATCTGATTCAGAAGCCCCCACATGAATGTCTCCATTACACCACATGGTCACAATTGCTTCCTTACACCTTGTGAAATTAGAAGTAGGGATAGCCCTAACATTTAAATTCATATCACCCACACAGCAAAGCAAGCATAAAAGCCAGCTCAATTAGCTTATGCAACAAGAACTACTGGGGGAAGACTCTTTCCACTGGCTTTGGTGGACTTGGGGCCTGGCTTGTAACCTGGTGTCATGCCTCTGCCTCTCCCTGCTCATGGAAAGAGAAATATTTGTGTCTTGAAAACTAAAGAGAACAAGACCTTTGCTTCCAGGACGAGATTAGCCTTGTGCTGGCCCTTCAGTCCAGGAAGATGGAAAAGGCTGTCACTCTCCCATTTGTCACACTTGCACCCTCAACAGCACAGTCCCTCTCGTGCATGTACCTTGCCCAGGGGGGAGGACCCAGATCAAAGGAAATACACGTGAGCTAATATCTCTCAGTGAGTGTATATGAAGGTAATTAAGCATCCATCAAAGCTGACCAGTAGTAGGTGTTCACAGACACGGATGCGTCAGGAGCACCCCGAACACAGGGAACGAGCTAGGGACATAGCCATCAAACATACAACAGACTGCCTTCAAAAAGAAGAAGCTGACTTAGCTCAAAGGAGAGGTCTAAAAGGGAGAGTTTGCTTTGCGGTATTGTAATATGGACCTTGGCAAGAACCTCCCCATTCACAGTTGAGGCTCTCTGGGCCTCCTAAATCTCTTTTCTCCAGACCGCCTGACACTTACCCCAGGCACCTCTTTAGCTCAGACTTACCATGTGTGGTTTGGCCTCCCGGTCAATCAGGTTGACCTTCCCTGCCGTGGTTTTGTAATTCTCAATATCCTGTTGTATTTCCATGTGCTCAGGGTTTGCCATGAAAAAAGTGTGAGCTGCATCTGCTGCCTCCTCCAGCTTGTTCAGCTGTAACAAGACAAGAAAAGAAAGAACAGCTGACTTGGTGACGAAGGGCAGTGAATACAGCCATTTATCCTGCACCTTCTACTTCTACAGGATGGAAAAAGCTCTGATACATTACATCCTGTTTTATCTTAGACAGTTAATCTGCACATCCACTGTTCTTTCAGGCCCCTGGATTTTCTCTTTGCCCTGCCAGCTTCAATTACATGAAGCTGAAGTGCACTCAGTCCTAAGGCAAAACCATACCTAAATATTGCTTAAGCACCTGCCTAGCATGGTGTTCCCAGCACTTCCAGACCCTGCACTCCAGCTGGTAGACACAGCAAGGCCAGCCTGCCATTTCATCCATTCTGCAAGTCCAGAAGGGAGTGAGAAGTCATTAGCAGCAAAAGGAGAACAGGCTGAGCAGTGATGGGTGACCAAGGAAAACCTGAATGCAGAGGCTGAGGAAAATAGCTGAAATGAGAGGAAAAGCCCAGTGCAAAGGAAGTTGGGAGGGATGGAGTTTCCTAGTGCCAGACAAGTCAATTCATCTGTCTGTGATCTGGTCTATTAATAGGCCAGCCTCTTTTCCAGCTGCACATCCTCTGAACTCAGCTAATCCACCCCCGACCCACACAATCCCTGCTGGAGAGGTGATCTCATGAGATATCAGAGACGGAGAGAGGGGAAAGAAGTTGCTAAGATTGTTCTCTCTATTAGCCTTAGAGGTTATGCTATGTCCAGGCGGAGTATCTCTACTTTAGTTGCATAGGGGATTTAGAACCATTTACTAAGCTCAGCCGTATATAGTTGCAAAAGGCCACACTCCGCTGGTAGGGGCAGACGTATAAAATTGAGTTAGTTTGCACTTAGCTTTGTAACTGAGACCAGGCATTAGTTTCTCCCTGGAGAAAGCCCCTTAAACAAACAAAAATGCTAGTCCTAAACACATCCACTGCAGCAGCTGGCAGTGCAAGGAACAGATACTTCAGGTGAAGTATCTGCATGATAGAGCAGGGTCAGAGGCCAGTTCCACGGCTGACGGACTGCCCCGGAAGGAAGCCAACACCACTGAGTAACAGCATTGTGCAGAGCCAGGCCCTGGGGATCTGCCTGCAGGCTGAGCAGGCTCCCCCAGGCTTGTTAGCCAGGATGAGGCTAATGCTAGCTACAACCACATGGGCCTTGGGAAGGTCAAGTGTCCAAGTGTTCCCCTTCTTAGCAAAGCCTGCACTGAGCTCCAGGCCACAGAGGCTAGCCTCTGCCAGAGGCACTCGAGCCAGCTAGCTCAGGGGCATCTGTGCTACGCTGCAGTCACTACAAGGCAATTCACTTGCAGAAACCCCGCTTGAGACCTCTACACTGGCTCCTTGGTACCGACTGGACAATCCCACCAGTAAAATAAATGTGAGCTGCAAAGAGACCTTCAGAGAGGGATGAGCTCAATACCCTGTTATCCTAGGCCTGGAGCAGGGAGGAGACGCACTCTGGATGAGGCCATGGCTGCCCAGCCTGCTTCCAGTCCATTTCAGGCTTATGGTTTTAGCCACAAGCCACAACACAGCAAAATCTTTACCACAATTGATCCCAGCCCATCAGTGCCATGCCAAGCGAATACCACAGGGCAGAAGGATAGTCTCTGCCTCCAGCCCCCAGAGGGGAATACAGCAGGTGAATATACCCAGCAGAAGATGACCAGGGGTCCGCAGGCCAAAGCCTCCCTCTTGAGGCATCTGGAAGGAACACTTTCTGGTGCACAGCACCCTGGCTACCCCAAAACATCCCTTCGTTTCCTTTCCTCTGCTCAGCTTGAGGAAAGAAGCTGTGATTGCAGGCAGACAGCAGTGCACAGAGACAAGAGCAGCTCTGCTGCTCAGCCAAGCCTTCCAGCCACAGGAGCTCCACAGCCCTCAGGAGATCCTACTCATCCCTAGGAGATGACTGCAGTGTCCCTGGAGCCCTGCCAGCCCAAAGAACAGAGCTACACGTGGGTCGGCAGAGGCTGGAGTGCTAGCAGGCTCTGAATGGGAGCCATGTGCCGCTCAGCCGGCAGAGCGGTATGTCAGTGAACAATGCTTCCCCGTTTGCTTTGGGCCTGCCTGCTGGAGCAGGGAGCCCAGACATCTCTACCGCAGGCCATGGTGTAGGTTGAGAGAAGCAGCACACAAGGAGCCTTCAAACCGCCCATCCAGAACAAGCGTTACTGTAAAAAACCTCCTAGGAGCTGGGATTTTGTTTAGGCTGTTGGTTGTGCTGCATATTAAGGCTCAGTTGCAAGTGTTAAGACTTGGATGCACTTAATGAGCATTGATTTCCATGGTTGATACAGTATTGCCTTTCAGCCAAGCTGTGAGAAACAAAAGCTCTTTCAGTGAGTTCACAGGAACCATCTTTCACTGTAGTTTCACTGGAAGAGAATCAAGCTAAGTGACAATATCTTGCATTTCTTGGGGGCTGAGCATACGCATACCGACACTGATTACCAGTCAAGCCATACAGTCACCGGTTTCATCTCTGAAATGTGACTGATCTTCAGACACTTTTGGTTGGCCTGTCACTTGTCTGAGCACCCGACTTGTTAGCAGGTTGCCTGGTTAGCACAATCCTCTGCGGAAGGGTTTGCAACCATCTTAAAAACTAAAAATTATAGCTATTAACATATAAAACCCAGCTGAACCAACTCAGACTGGGATCTGTGTAAAATCATGGTGCCTTTTCTTTGAGGAATGCTCCTGTATATATTCTCATGGCAATTTCACGTGCAAGGTGTGCAGAAACTTGGCTGTGAAATCCTAAGGGCAAACATCACTCAGCGTAAAAGAAAATAGGCAGCCTGCCTTCTTACAGAGTGGGTGGCTCTCTCGGACATCTGATATAGCACAGGCCCTGATAAAGCTTTTTCCATGGCTGAGGTGTTGTTTGGTTGCTGGATATTGCTCCTCAGGTAGCATCTCCATGCTCTAACAACAGTTCAGGCTACACTATGGCCAACTCCTCTTTCTTCTTGGCAAACTATTTGCACAACGCTTGTAGAAATTCAGTTCCTTAGAGTAAACCCCTCACCACAGCTGACTGGCTGGTAGAGTCAGAAGCTATAAAGAGGAATGTGCGAGCATGTGAAGCCTCAGCTCCTTAGGAAAACTGCTCTCTCAGTCCTCTCCACCTTCCCTAACTCATTCCCGCTGTCAGACAAACACATGCATGTTGGGGGAAAAGGGACACAATCCTACACTGGTAACAGGGGTAATGGCATAGGCACTTACAGAGAAAGGGAAAAGGTATGGGGTAAAACTGCATGAGTTCATCTTCCCTTTGCTGGGATTAAGTGGTAAAGGGCCAGCTGGCACTGAGCTGTGCTCTGCCTTGCCCCCGCACTGCCTCACACTGCTGGGGACGCCTGGGTGGGAGGAGGGCACTGCATTACAGCACCAGCATGGCAAAGGTGGCCCCTTTTATGCCACACGGTGCTCTGAGTAGGAATGGCTGGAGCATGTAAGAGTGGCAGCTTTGGTTCGGCTGGACAAGAAGAGCCCCTCTGGAAGCACTGAGCCCACACCAAATTACTTGGCAAACGTGTTCCTATTAGGAAACTGGAGCTGTCTGCCAGGGTTAATAAAATAACCTAGTTGTTTAACTGGCTGAATGATGCCTCCTTTCATACTGTATGTAAAGCTTGGCAAGACTTGGGAAAATATAGTGTGAAGACATGCATTATTACTGCAAGGTAAGATTCCCTAATGGCACAGAGGGAACATATTTTGGCTGTGAAGGAAGTAGCCGGTGCCATTTGAATCTCCACTCTCAAACAAAATTTCCAAGGGGCAAATATTAAAAAATTACTGCAACAGGTTTCCTTTGGCTTTCGTTCAAAACAAGGTGGAATTAGAAAGTGCAGCAAACTTGCTGAAAACAATTTTTACATTACAAGAAGCACAAAGATGACTCCGGAGGACTGGGGAAGCCAGCCGAAAGGCAAGTGAGGGGGGGGAAAGTGTTCTGCGGAGCATACAAGGACACACTCGAAACTTCAAGGCATGTACCAAATCCCGTAGGGAACCACCCAGCGCTTTCATCTGCGATCTGGGACTGTTTAGATTAAGATGAACACAAACATCGTCTAGAGAAGAAACAAGGGGGTTACAGTGAGTCAAACTGGTGGCAACTGGAAACATAAATGCTCCATCACAGTTGTCAGAAATTACCGGCTGAGCTTTTCTGGGATGTCTGAGTGATTTTGACAGGGAGATATTGAATGGAAGCAAACACCCAGATCTACCAGGTGATACTGGCACTTTCACAGTAAACAAGCAGTTCCTGTCACACTCTTCTTTTGCTCACTGGGGCATGAAGACGTTGAGCTCAATATTTAGAAGTCATATCTGCCTCAAAAAGAAGTATTTGTCTCTTCATAAGGCCTCCCCACACTGTCACAAGGGAACCCATCACAGTGATTCACAAACAGAAAATCTCCCTCTTCCTTCCTGCCCAGCCTGAGGAAGGGTCAGATCAGACCATCACTTTGAAAGCAGGTGTCCAGACACACAAAGAGCTTTGGGAGGGAAAGCACAAAGGGGCCCCCAAAGGGGCCAGATCGATGCCGCAGCTGAGCCTAGGTTGTACAAACCACTACTGGAAGAGGGAAAAGGGAAACATGGTACACCAACGGTTCAGGCTCTGTACTGCAAAGCCCCTTGGAAAAACAGATCTGATTGGAAAAGCAGAGCTCAATGAAAATAACTACTGGCTTCCGGCACTCTCCCTTGTCCTCACTGTCCCGAAACCAAGTGTTTTACCTCCCCAACATATGGCTGGCACTGTTTTGCTCAATACCTGCATGACCAGAGACGTCAGGTGCCCTCAGCTGTGCTTAAGTCAGCAGGAGCTGGAGACGCTCAGCACCTCTCAAGTCTTCAAGCCGCTGTGCTTGGGCATAGGGAATTGGTGGCAAAGCTGCAAACAGAGCCCGTTTCCCAAATGCAGTGCCTGGAGAAGCTTCAAAATTCACACTGCCCGGCCAAAGA